ATATTTTAACTAAATATATATTACAATATTATTTACGTATTATTTTAGCATGCAATGTGTATGCTAACTTTATACAAAGTTATCGACCAGGCTAAAATCCAGGCTAAAATCGTAAAGTACTGAATTATATTACGCGTTAAAGTATTCTCATTTTATATCTGATTTTGTGAGATTTGAATTAATTTTATTGAGCAAGTTTGTAAATGTGAAATTGTCTTTGTGAATACTAAAACAGTGCTCGTTTGTATTGACAAAACTATCTTTTTCCAATAAAAAAATGAAAAAAATAGTTATGAATGATTAAAAAAATAATATTTATAATAAAAATTCAAAATTAACTCCTAAATCTAAATATTTCCAATATATTATTATGTTATGAGTAGATTTTTTCTGCATAAGGATCCTCTCTTTGAATAACCCATGTGTTAAAAAAAGAAAATCGGTTCATCGGCTTACAGCTGGCGAATAAATCGTGTAGCTAATACAATAATTCTTTTTTGAAGTCAGTCAAATATAGTATAATGAAAAATAGAAAAATAGTGTAAGTGCCATCAAAATGGATCTCGATAAGGCTCTCGATTCATACTGTATACATATATATCGTGGTTTGATTCATCCTCGTAATATAATAATAGTTGTTCAATAAACAAAAATTCACCCCCTCTTTTCGGGTATAAATCGAAAAATATGTATCCTAGAAAAGAATTGATGAGATTCATTATTGTAGGAAATTTAATTACAAACAACTTTTGTAATAACTATTTTTTGTGTTGAATTAAAAATTAAACGAGTTATTCAATAAACAAAAATCAAACCTCAAATTCAAGATGGCGGATGACGCAACGGGTCTTTTACCCCGAAAATCTAAGTTTAGACTTCCAGTGACCCCCTTCAAAGAATTCCGAAGGAAAATTGCTGTTAAAATTTTTGGCTTTATACGATGTTCTCTAAGGCACCAATATATTATATTAAAAGTTATGCTATCATTTTACTTACCAATATTAAAAGTCAAATTGCAGTGTATTCAACATCCTTTCCATGAACAAAACCTCATTATCTTAGTATGTCACACTCAAGGCTGAAACATTTTACGTTTCCCCTAAAAATTACATATTTCCGTCGATAGCCTAACCTTCTGATAATACGTTCTGAGTAACACTGACTCATTTACAAAAACGCTGTTCAATTCACATAATATAATATCTTTATGTACATATATAATTATTCTGTACATGTGTATGTCACTAAATTCCTCTTAAACGATGGACCCGGGAGGTGGCGCTGCAGTTGGTTTCTAAGATTTTTTACACACTAGCGACTCACCCTCGCACCGCTCGAGTTCGTCCCAGTTACGTTTTAACGTCTAGCCCAGAGATGATATATTTTCCTGCAGTAAAAAGTATCCTTTATGTTGATCTGGATAACCAGCTGTCATCATAAAAAAATTCATCAAAACCTGCCCAGTGGTTTTGTCGTGATGCGTTCCCAGATAGACAGACAGACAAACATTCTAAAAACTATAGATTCGGCCTCTGTATCGATAATAACGTTTATTTCAATAAGATTTCCCAAAACATATTTAATGTACAGATTCGATTTCGTTACAATTTTATTATATGTATGTATAGATGTAAAGATGACTTGAAAATTACCAAGGACCCCCGTAGAGCGAATGTGATATTCATCATACGTGATAGAGATATGTAGAGATTGTAGCGCTCTTTATTCTCTTTGACGAATGCCCTAGAGACATATATACATAATACACAGATATTTATGTACCTAACTATATAATGAATGTAAAAATTTGAATGTGCGTATGTAATGAATTGAAAGTACAAAGATAGACTATATGACCAGAAGTAATACATAGACTACTCGTACACTATTCTAGTACTATCTTTTCGGGTTTTTCGCGGATTTGTTTTGATTCTTGGTTCCCGACGTTTCGAATGCTTTACAGCAATCATCACGGGAGAGAAAGTTTCGGTCCGGAAAAAATAGTTTTATTTAAAACTGGCATATTTTAATAGCAAAACAAATATGCCCAAAAATGCTTGTTCATATGACGAAACCATATGAACAGGCACTACCGCAAGTATAAATAAAAGGCGTATTTGGTCACAATAACGGTGTAATTGTTCACCTTCACAGACAATTCACTTAATTGGAAGAATGCGTCATCTTTAAACTAATCAATGCCAAAGTATTTTGTATGGTATACAGATTGTTACGGTGTTTTTGTTATGTTGCACTAGCCTTTACCCGGTGCTTTGCTTGCGTTTTGCAATGATAAAAAATGTCTTAGTTAATCGCTCTTCTTCAAATCCTTTAATTTGTCTATGAAAAATAGATTAATTAATTAAATTAGATAGCCCGTTTGAGGAAGGCTTTGATGACGATGTTCTCCTGGCCGATTCCGGCTACGGCGGCCAATCTCATTGAGATTAGCCAACTGCGCAGGAGATATTATAGTGCACAAGTGTACGCGCAGACACAAGTGCATTATCTATTCCTGTCACTCTCATAGTCCGGTGGGACGACTGCTCGACACGACCAGTGAGAGTTAAGTCGCAGGACCGACGGCCTTACGTGCTACGTGCAAAAACTAAACTTGGTCCGACCTGGGACTCGAAGCCAGGATCTCCGAGTGTGCAGCCCTACATGCTAGCCACTACACCACCGAGGAAGGCTATAATCTACATATCATATAATATATAGTCTATCTATTCCTTACTAACTGTTAAAACGTACCTAGTAACTAAATGACCAATTATTTCGACCCTTTTAGCACAGTGTACCTTATAGTATTTTTAGGTAAACACTAAGGTGTTTAATTAAAAAAAATATTTAAGATGTATCAAAAATTTTCCATTGTAAAATAACCCTCCTCTGGACTTCGCAGTCGGATAATATTTCAATTCTACGCGATACCTTATATTTTACAAGAATTGGACCCAGTTATGCAAAAAACAGACATGTGCGTAAAACTACCAACAGAGTTATAAGCATTTTATTATAAAAAATAAAATAATTATAAAAAATAAACAATACTTATATAAATATTGTTCAATTTTAAAATAACCAGAAAAACAAAATATAACCCAAGTGCAACTATCGACAGAAAAATGCTTATAACTCTGTTGGTACTTCTACGCACATGGCTGTTTTTTGCATAACTGGGTCCAATTTGAATAATCAAATCTAACATGTTGCTAACAAATAGTTAGTGTATTTGTCATACAAATAACTGTAAACACTCAACTAAAAACAAACCATAAATGTATAAGCGTTACATTTGTCACACAGGAAATCACAGCTGACTTATGTCTTATGTGGCAACTTGTCCACCACTTCCTCTGATTGTAGTACAATCAGTACAATCATTGTACGTCTGTCACAGTCTATCTACTAACTAGGTTGAGTCCGGTAAAACATCATAGTAGGTTCTTTTTATTACGAATATATAAAATAATTAGGTATCTGTGCAATATGTATGTACTTAGCCCTTTTTAACGTCCCACTGCTGGGCACGGGCCTCCTTTCAATGTGAGGTGATCAGGCCATAAACCATCACGCTGGCCAAGTGCGGGCGGACTTCACACATCTTTCGAAAACTTGCTAGGTTCTCTCAGAGATGTAGGTATTCTCACCATGTTTGCCTTCACAGTAAAATTAAAATCGGGAAAGCTGAATTTCTTTTCTAACCTACAGAAAATAGTCCAATAGCGATGAAACTTTGATAAGTTTCTAACATAGGTGATAGGTTCATCAGGCATCAATGTACATACAGTAGGTTGAGACTTAAAACTGAGTGAGGATTTAAGATATTTGAAATTACTAGATTACGCCCAGTGGTCAAAATTCCACAATAATCATTTTTGAAAATTTGAGGAAAACATATGAATAGAATTTACCTATAAAAAATTAATAACAGTTTCCAAATTTTTTAACGATCACACTAAAGCTCATCTATAGCTACAAACATGGTCACGGAGAGCTTAAGGTTTTAGACGTCTTAAAATGTTCTGCATCTGTATTCAAAATATCGATAAAAAAACCTAGATACACATCAATTTACACATCTACGACCGCTAAAAAAGGATGGAGTTTCGTATTTCCGGTGAGCATTAATATTATCATTGTATACTTCCCTAATTGTTATCAATATACTGTAAATACTGATATTTTGTCAAGAAATCATCGTAAAAATAGTTTTAAATATTTTTTAAATTTAAGTCGTAATAAACAGCAGGTCAATTGTAAATACTCTTACTCATTGTAATAATCATACTTACGCATGTCTACTTAAATTGTTCGGGTTATGTGTGTTGCTTCTGTTCCTTTTGTTGGAGACGCAATTGTATCGTAATTTTTTTTTTCTAATGGATTAGTTTTTTTGAAGTAAAACTTGTTTAGACGTGACTGACAATACATTGGAAAATTGAGTGTCGCTGAAGTGAAGATTTGTTATTAACACCATAGAATACAATAAAACATGCTTTATTATTATTATTTTATATTTTAAACTTAACAGAATAAAAAAGTGACCATTTATAAGTATGATATAGAAAAAAAATAGAATAATTAAACTCCATTCTTATCGCGGCGTGGCGGCGCGGCGTGGGGGTGGCGACGAGCGGCAAGATGCCGTCCTAAATTTTTGTGTGAAAACAACTTTATGCATTGAAATTAACGTTGAATTTACATTGTTATATATTTATTTCAACTAGAATTACATAAACACAATTAGTGACAGTTTTAAGAGAACTTTTGCATGGGATTGTGTATCTAGTAAGTACTTTTTTGATCGTTGGTTGTAAAAGATCACTTCGAGTTCCCTATTTAAAAACTCTAATAGGATCCCATCAAAAGCGACAAAAGTCTCATAGAAACCATTAAATATTTATTGGTTTCTATGTGGCTTTTGTCGCTTTTGATGGAATTTTATTGGGGTTTTTCAACAGGGTTATTGCTGTCTCGTGTGCCATTCTGGTGCGATGCATTTAGCGTCTGCGATGAGCGGGAAGAATAATAATATGAGACGAACGGGAGGCGCCATATTGCCGCCTCGCGTCGGTCGCCCGCCGCCGCGCTCGCAGCGTCAGGCGACCGCGACCAGCGGAACAGATAGTACGTGTTCGAGCGTTCTGCGTCTTATTTTTCCAATTTTTTTTACAAATTGTGTTTCCACGATGCAAAACATAAATACGGAGATGTTTATTAGCGAAGTAAAATCTCGACCTGCACTATGGTCCAGTAAGCATGACTTCTTTAAAAATAAGTATGTAATGAAAAAAAAGTGGGATGAAATAAAATACAGATTCCCTGGAACTCAAGGTATTTATAATCATTCATTATTAAGTAATTCTTAAATTTATTACGTACTAGTATTGCCCGCGGCTCCGCCCGCGTTCAGATGACCAAATACTAAATTCTTAGGTTTTACATATTAGTATACTCTTACATTGCAGTTTTTGTGTTTTTTCTCAGAAATGAGATATTTTTTCGCGGTAAAAAGTATCCTATATGTTGACCCGGATAACCAGATATCGCCATATCAAATTTCATCAAAATCCCTCTGGTGGTTTTTCTGTGATGCGGTAACAGACAGACAGACAGACAAACAGAAAAAAAATTCTAAAAACTATAGATTCGGCCTCTGTATCGATAATAATGTTTATTTCAATAAGATTTTCCAAAAAATGTTTAATGTACAGATTCGGCTTACTTACAATTTTATTATATGTATAGAAATACATAGTTTGAGTTGTAGTTGAGATTTGATCTGTTTCTGTTGATCTATCGGTCATTGGTTAGTTCATTCGTACTGTTTGATAATGCATGTTATCACGCCCATCTCGATATATTACAATGTGATATACTTAAGTAAATCGGATAAATATGTTTCGATAGGTTTGTGGAGTATGTATACGCCGTTTAGTAGTTAATATGCCAAAATCACACTACACACGGCCAATATTACTAAAAGCATTGCACTTCTTAATTCATTAATTTTCGTACATAATAAAATTAATATTTCTTTTCGGATCACGAAATGCAAAATATTTAGTTTTGCATTTAGTTTACCCTGGATAAGTTTTTCGACTTAATTAGTATGCTAATTAGATCATTTTTCAATATCATGCCGTATTTTGTCCCATTTTATGTATTTCTATTAAAATAATTTTCTTTCAATGTTAAATTGAAACTAGTTAAATTATATAAAACAAATAAAAGAAACATAATATTATTAATACATATTTCATAATTTAGGGTTAAAAATTTTATGCATCACATTGCAAATCAATTATTTTTCATTGAATTGGGTACTAATGATGCTTAGAATGGAACGGTGGCTGTAAAGAATGATTTTTTTGAGGGCAGGCCGAGGCCCCTTCGATCGCGGGGCCCTGGGCACTTGCCCAGAGTGCCCGATATAAAAGGGGCCTGATTGCTAGTTGTGGCATGTAGTGATAGTGTATTGTTATCCATATTGCTTTGAGTATTTAATAGATACATTTTGCAATAGTTCTTCCCATCTGGAACGTATGAGATAGAGATTTGAATGATGCACTCATTGAAAGGAACCTGAAACAGGAAATGAATGAATATAATAGTAATGCATAGTTTGTATTCTTACAGTTGTTGATTTAAAAAAAAAATGGAAAAACCTACGAGACAATTACCGCAAGGAATTGAAAAAATGTCGTGTTGGACGACCGGGTGATTCAGGCGATGAAAGTTACGAGTCATCTTGGAAATATTTCCAAATGATGGACTTCACTAAAGACGAATTAATGCCGGTAGCTAATGAAAGTAATCTGTCACAAGAAGAAGAACAGGATAGTGGAGATCAAAATATAAATAACAAGGAGACTAATACAGTTGAAGATGATAACTTAGGAAGAAGTGTAGAATATAGAGAAGGATTTCATACAGAACAAAACGTGGATGGTGATCGAGTAGAAATGTCCAAAAGAAAGCGTACTCCACAAGACATTCGAGAACAATACTTAGAAATCGAAAGAAAAAAACTAAAATTGCTTGAAAACGAGTCAATACTTCGTCGTACAGTGGATATTCAAAAATCCCAGGATTATCATTTTCTAATGAGTCTTTTGCCGGAAATTGAAAGATTACCTCTTATTAACAAATTACGATTACGTAACAATTTTAATGATGCACTCCTGCAGGAAGTAAATTCTGTTAATTGTAAATCACAAACTCCAACTAGTAATTTAGTTACACCTAACTAGGAGAAAGTTTTTTTTACTAAATAGTACATATTTTTTGTGTTTGAACATAATATATAGACAAAAAAACCATATTAATTGATAGAAAAACTATTAATCTAATAAGAATATGTAATATCTAGTTCTTATTTTAGTTTAACACCTCCAGATAAATTTCTAAGAAATAATTAAATTTCTAAGAAATCTATTGTTAACTGTAACGCCGGCGTGCCCTCGGTCGTGTAGGTAATATTTGTGAGGATTTAATGCATTTTACAGAACACTAAATCTTAGTCAATCTAATAGATCTAGGTAGATCATATGCAAGGGGTAAGTAGACTTATGTACCAATAATAATCAAATCATGAGAATGGACAAATAATTAAACGTTTTTTTTAATTACCTGAGGCTTTTATTAAAAAAACAATCAGGTATCACTAAAGCAATAAAACGTAGATAAGAAGACCTAAAGACGATTTATAATAACAGTGCCTTTATGACTAAACACAATATTTTAAACATTGATTAATAAATATTATAAGAAAATAATATTAGTTGTATTTTTAATTTTAGACCCATTGCTTGTTGGTATGTTACTTTTTTATTTATTAATTTTTTTTTTAACGTTGGGAAATGCATTTACGCACGAGGTGTGGGACTCACCGGCAAAGCCAGTACTACTCACTAAAACCCAACAAAACCTTCCCCCGTCTTAATGGAGCGTCGCAGGATCGCTTACGCATTCAACTACGACGCCCCGACGGCAGGTCTGCCGAAGCAGACCACAACAACCACGGGGTTGCTCCACAGTCCACTCTGCTATCAGAGAAGTACCAGGAGCAACCCGCATGGTACACTGCCCTCCGAAGAGGGCCACCTCCCACCGCCCACCGAAGTGGGCCACCTCCCTGTGCGTTTCTTGGCTTCGCGCCCGGTTGGGTTGCCGGGCACTACTGAGCCCCCCCACCACGACAAGGTGAACGCACGTTGGGGGGGGGTATGTTACTTACCTCAAGTTAAAAATAATTTCTCGGCAACGATTCAAACGTGGTTGTAAAAGTCTATTTGAATAAAGTATATTTTGATTAATTGATTTTCGATTAAAATGACAACACTCATAAAATGGACGCGTCATTTTCTAAAAGACAATCACAATGTGTAAGACAAATTCTTTTTTTTTTACCTGACATCAAAGCAGGCGAGACCAACAAACACTTTCAAACGGTAAGAGGAAAAATAAACTCTAACGTAACGTAAAGACAAATTCAAATTCCTTAGATTAAGTCAGTATATAGAAAAGCATTAAATTAGTCGGCATCTAGATTACGATATCGCATAAATAAATAAGTCGAAGCAATTTATAACGTCACAATAGAAGCGGTGAGGAATGCTAATGCGAAGGTATTGAACGGTACAGGCGTTTTTACAAAACAGCTAACAAATTAACTAAATCGGACTGCAATAATTTTTAATGGGAAAGTTTGTATGTCTGTGCGTATGTATGTTTGTTAATGTTGTTGTCACGCTGTCAGCTGTCAGCTGTTAGTCAGCTGGACGGATTTGGATGAAATTTAGTATACTGATAGATTTAGACTTGGACCTGCCAGGGCAAAGTAAGCGTAAGTCGTATATATATATATATATATATATATATATATATATATATATATATATATATATATATATATATATATATATATATATATATATAAAATAATAGGCATTCACTTCTGTTTGGCCTAATGTGTGACGTAATTTTGACCGACTTAAAAGCAACATTTTTTATATTTGTTTAATTAATCATATGAGTAGAGCACTTTGAAAATAGTGTTATTTTAAACTTTAAGCGTAAAATGCCTTATTTTTTCCTAAAATACGAATTAAATCTATTCATTTTCGTTACCATTTCATGGTATAGTATTTTAAAGTCATTCGTAAGAAAACTGAAATATTTTTTTAGTTTTATTTAGAACCTCAAATATTCGTGTAAATCTAAAAAAATGCTAAACGCTATTTACCAACCTGTACTCAGACTATTCACAAATTATGCAAAAGTCCACTTGAAAATTTGCTATTATGAAATTAATATCTAAAATATAGAGCATTGAATTACACCCGCTCTAGAATCTGTTCATACTTGAATTAATGGTTTTGAAATGTCAACTTTGTTGAATATCAACTAGCAATATACCCGGGTTTTGTTTGTTTCCATTTTAAATTAATATTCTTGAAGATACTCCCAATCAAGTACAGATTTAAAGTATCATCATAATTAAAAAATCAAAAAATATTTTAAAATCATCATCTCCCTGTCCATTTCCCAAAGTACTTGGGGTCGACGCAATAAGTCTTGCTGTTCCAGTCTCCCCTATTACTCGTCACGTCATCATCCCTTTCTCTTTCATGTTCTGTCGATCACAATCTATCCATCTTTTCATCGGCTTTACATACAAAAAAAAATCTACTTGAAATAAAGCAACGACAAGTAATCTATTCTAATATTATAAAGAGAAAAAAATTGTTTTTTTTTGTTTGTGTGTTTGTTTGTATCGAATAGGCTCCGAAACTACTGAACCGATTTAGATAAAATTTGGTAAGAAGATAGTTTGAAACCCTGGGAAGGATATATAATAGTTTTTATCCTGGAAATCATCCCTTAAGGATAAAAGAGACCTAGGGACAAACCCGAGCGAAGCGAGGTTAAGTCGCTAGTGTATACATATATAATATAGGGATGACGTCGGCGGATCATGTTATTCAGTATAATATGTATACGAGTAGGTTTACTTCATTGTTCAAGTTAGGCGCCTAACAGTAAGGACAGAGGTCGGTCCGTCGTGGGAACACTCGCCAATTATACGGGGTCGCGAGATCAAATCGCGTTTGCGACAAAACATGCCGAATCGTGGTGACCATACTTTTTATTATAGAGAGACTAAAATTGATTTTTCATTAAATATTTGTCCTAGTTAGTAATTGCATGAGTTCCCATACGAAAGGAAAGTATGAAACCCTATTTAGGCTTATTCGTGTGTTTGTTTATCCAACAGTCAGTGAATTTAGTTGACAGGAAGTGTTGAAATGATATAAATAGGTACTGCTGTGTTGAATTGATAATTTACAATAAGAGAAGTTGTGAAACCTACTACATATTATATATACTAATATACTCATATATAGAAATCATAAAATAAATTAAATAGATTGTTATATCTCAAAAAAACGGTATGAAAAATAATAATAAATTATCTCAGTAAAATTGTAATCATGGTATCAATACGGCAATCTCGGCGATCACGATCCACTGGCGGCGATCTACAAAGTAGTTGCGACTTGCGATGCGCCGGCGCACCGCACAGGGCTGCCACACATTTTTACGTATTACTAATTACTCTTAAAAAACAAATATTTTTACAATCCATGCAATGATACAAAGAACCTAAATTTCATCAATTATATCTTTTTCTTTATGGAGATCCTATATTGAAACGAGACAAGCTTTTTTTAAAAAGTCGATTCAATTAAAAATATTGTTAAATTCTGCAAGAATCGATTTTTTTCTTAAAATTCGTAACCTTATTAGTCTCTACTAATATTTTAAAGAGTTAAAGTTTGTGAGTTAAAATTTTGTAGGAAGGGGTGATCTCTGGATCTACTGAACCGATTTAGATGAGATTTGGTAAGAAGATAGTTTGAGACTCTAGAAAGGACATAGGATACTTTTTATCCCGGAAATAATTATAATAATATAATATTGATTTTTTTTAAAGTGCAATAAAAGAATAGTATATAATTCCTTAAAGGGGTGAAAATGGGGATGACAGTTTGTATTGGGAAGCAAGCTAGGGACGAATCCGAGCGAAGCGAGTGTAAGTCGCTAGTATAATATATGTATATTAATCTATTCATAAAAAAATGGATATCACTTCACAATAATTTATAAAAGACATCATAATATTACATATTGTATTCAGCCCTTTTTAACGTCCTACTGCTGGGGGTGGGCCTCCCTTCAATTCATCAGGCCGTAGTTCACCACGCTGGCCAAGTGCGGGTTGGCGGACTTGTCACATGACATTGACACAATGTCTTGACACATGTCTTTCGAAAACTTGCTAAGTTCTCTCAGACATGTAGGTTTCCTCACGATGTTTTCCTTCGCCGTAAGGCAAGTGGTAACCATGTTAGAAATGATTCGCATGATGATGTTCTCCTAGCCGATTCCGGCAACGGCGGCCAATCTCATTGAGACTAGCCAACTGCGCAGGAGATATTATAGTGCACAAGTGTACGCGCAGACACAAGTGCACTCTCTATTCCTGTCACTCTCATACTCCGGTGGGACGACTGCTCGACACGACCAGTGAGAGTTAAGGCGCAGGACCGTCGGCTTTACGTGCTCTCCGAGGCACGGGGGTGAAACACCGCCAACTTCCCAACTCAGAGCTGTTACTGAGACTTACTATACAGAAAAACTCAGTAACTAAACTTGGCCCGACCCCAGTCTCGAACCCAGGACCTCCGAGTGTGCAGCCGTACATGCTAGCCACTACACCACCGAGGCAGTTCTACTCTCTCTTCTCTACAGAAATGATTCCCGCCCCGAGAATGAGACCGCTGAACCCGCTCTACTCTGTTTCCTAAGCGAGCGCGTTACCACGGGGCTACCACTGCCCTATATTATATAACTCAGTAAAAAATCGTTAATTTGTATATTCTTAACAACTAGACAATTTCATTCATTTCCATCCTTAATATAAACTTTTCTGCATCATATTATATTCAGTGAGGCAATGCCTTGTCGATAATCGTTATACGTATCGACTAATTATATCTCACATCACTGCTTAGTACGCTCGTGTGGTTTAGTAGGCAACTGGTCAGTAGTTAGCACCTTGTCGCGTCGAGCTATCAAAATAATTGTCGGTGATTGCAAATAGAATTATTGTGTACTAGAATCGCTTCTTTGCCTTAGGCTTTCAGTTCGATTTGCTGGAGGTAAATATATATGGGAACTCGTT